TGAAAGCAGACGTGTTTTTGAAATAGCATAAAATATTAAAATTTTAACAATAGTTTTGACAGTTAAAAGTGACTCTTAAGCCCATATTTCTAAAGTCTGATTACTTACAAAGTGCATAATAACTAGATCTTTTATTCCGGTGCCACTGTGTACTGGCATGTACGCAGCCCCGCTCACTACCGTGAATAACGAAAGCAGCTGCCTTTTCCATTGCATTCGCACTCGTACGGAGACTTTGCACACGACGCAATGAATCCACAGAGAACACCGCCTATTGGAATAATTTATCCACTCATGGTGACAAGGATTTTCATTCGAATGTCTCTGAGAAAAAGAAAGGAACGCGCTGATGAAATAGATTATAAAAAAGCTGGAAGTTCCAATGTAAACAACTTTTTAGAAATGTATTCCTAACAGTTGGAACGGAGGAGAAGGGCGATAGTGTTTAGAGATTTTAATATTGATCTACTTAATACAGATAGCAACGTCACAAAATACCTAACTGAAATAAAATAAATTGGATATGAAATATTGAATAATATTAATAGGCTGTACAGTACTCCTGAAAACACCACCACAACCACTATACTGAACCATTTATGTACGAATATAAACAATCACTCATTTAGTTTCTCAATAATTAAATGAATCATGCCTATCTGATCATAAGTAGATATTTCTTGAAATAGGCAACTTAACAACAAAGACACATAAAAGAATTCAATATAAAGAGCTTGATTATGAAAAGTTATACAATACTACTTTAAAAGCCAAATATACTAATGAAGAAAATGACTATTACTACCTAGAGAGATTTATATTAGAACAAATAAACAGAAATAAAATAAGTAAGACAAAAACTCTTTACCCTCCACAAAAAGACTGGATACACCGAGATATTATAAACTCAATAAATTTACGAAACAACTAATGGCAGCAGACTAAATCTCACCCAGTAGATGATAATCTACAAAAAAACTTAATTGAAGAACAGAATAAAGTGAAAAATCTTATAAACACAAGAAAATCTACTATCATAACTTATTCCATAACAGTTACAATAAACTTAAGAAAATGTGGGAGATAATTAATAACTTAGCGTTAAACAAAATTAAAGACAGCAGTGCTCCTCTCAAACTAATATCAAACACGGGACTAATAACAGAAGGTAACTCAATATGTGACTTATTTAACTCATTTTTCTCCTCAATAGGCTCGGACTTGGCTTACAAAATTCCTAATATGTATCACATAAACAGCGGTAACACTCTTATGTACGAACATAACTATATACACGAAATAACACTTAGTGAACTTATACCTTGTAATATTCTGAAGTATCAAAAATAATCGATGATCTTAATACCAACACTAGTACTGGCCCAGATGGTATCAGCACCAAAGCGATTAAATCCTAAAAATTATAATTGTAGAGGCTAACGAACTGCATAAATATGTGTTTGACCCGCGGTGTTTTTCCCGACACACTTAAAATTGCTAAGGTCAGTCCTATGTTTAAATCCGGAAGTAGGACTTACCCAAATAACTACAAACTTGCCTGTTGTATCAAAGATATTTGAACGAGTCCTTTATAACCGCCTAAATGAATGCTTAATAAAAAAGTTTTTAACTGACCAACAATATGGCTTTCGTTCCATATCGAGGACTCTCACAGCTGCAGTAGACTTAATCACAAAAATTAAAACTCAAATCGATCAAAGGAATTTCGCTTTGGGGATTTTTATTGACATAAAAAAAGCATTTGACACAGTAAGCCATCATAAATTGTTGCAGAAACTAAACATCATAGGCGTTACAGGCAGGGCCCTCGAAATGTTCACATAATTTTTACATAATAGGCGACAAGCTGTTCAAATGGATAATTTTACTAGCTCGATTAAAAACTTATCCTACGAACTGTCCTCAAGGCTCAATTATAAGTCCATTACTATTTTTAACTTATATAAATAATATAAACAAAATAGGGCTGACACCTAACATTGTATGCCGACGACATATGTCTCTTCTATTTCGATAAATCAATTTAGAACATTATAACCTATGCTCAAAAAGATTTTGACTTACTCAGAGAATGGTTAAAATATCACCTGCTAACAATCAATATGTCAAAAACATCTTTCATGGTGTTTTCTACAAAGAATAAACCTTTAGCAGAATTTGCACATCTTACTATTGAAGATAAAATAATAAAACGTTCAACTCAGGAAAAATATCTATGTGTATTGGTAGATGATAAACACTAGTACTGGCCCAGATGGTATCAGCACCAAAGCGATTAAATGCCTAAAAATTATAATTGTAGAGACGCTAACGAACTGCATAAAAATGTGTTACATAACAAAACAACAACACACAACTTAAGAAGTAAAAATAAACTACAATTAATAACTGCACGAACTATGACAAAAAACCCTGTTGTTTGAGGGAGCACAGCTGTTCAATAAATTACCAAATGACATAAAAGTTGCAATAACATGAAATTGTTTAAAAGTAAACTTAGGAAGTACGTACGTACAGTATAATTTTTTTTGAATACGTGGTATCTCATATGTATAAGCAAATAAGCTTAAACTGTAACACTTCCAGCACTAGAGGTAGATGTGATAATATTACTTTAGTATAATAACTACTTTGTACCTCATTATAAGTGAACCATTGTATGTTCTTATGAGAAATAAATTTCTTTAAACCGAAAAATTCAATTAAAAAGTAGCAAACTTCGTCTAAGACAGGTATATGTTCTAAATTATTTAAGATCCCCTTTAGGCTTTGCACCCATCTTCCAAACGCCCTGTATAATTAACATATAAAAATTATACTATATTTATGAAAGTTTCTCACAGCATTTTTAATAGAAGCGGAGTCATAAAGTTTACAGCTCACTACCGGAGTAATTGCACATTTTTCTTTTATTTTTATTAGGCTCTCTTCTTGAGTGTCTCTTAATCGGTCGAGAAAAAACCGCTGCCGACAGTAAATTCCACAATGTGAACCTCACGGCTGTGAACTACTGATGTGGATGTTTTTTTAATTCATGCAATCTAGCTAGCACACCGCTCTATTATGACTGGCAATAGCTTAAGTAAAACCAGGGATAGTAAAAAAAAAAAAACAAATTCAATGCTTATTTATATTTGAGTATGTAAGCGTAACATTTCTTTCATATATATATATTTTACACAAGGAATTAAAAGGTTAGTCTAATTTTGAATGTTGTTTATAAGTTAATTGTTGAAATAATACAAAAACAAAACCTTAAATGATATAGACAGGTAAGAGTAGATTTTGTCAATCTTTGTCAGAATTTTTTTACATTAGTGTTTCGGGTGAATGGCACCCAACGTTCAGTGATACAAAGAGAAAAATTATAAAGAACAGTGAGACTTTACGGACAACGTTAAAATCTTTAGCAGAAATTTAAACATATACTTAAACAGAAACTTTGATATATCTATTACCTATAGAAGAACAAACCCTAGTGTGAGCTAGGGGTTTTAAAAACTTGACTCTTCTGTTACTATCAATTTATGTTGATTACTAATAATTATTTTATTTCATTACAAATTGAATAACATTAATTTTGAATCAAACCTTTTGAAATAACACATTTTACAACAGTTCCACACAATTTAAATATATTGCCATCGTCTTATTTTCTAAATCCTACTTTATGTACACATATATCACATTTATGCAGATGGGATCGCTTACCATCCTGATAATTGCTCTAACTTAAAAAATAATCGTTTATAAAGGTGTTTAGAATAAAATGCCTAAAAAAAGGCCACACGCGTCAACCGTTCCTATTTATTAATTCTGTTTTTCCTTCTATTGCTTTTGGTTTACAATACTTCTTTTAAATATTACCTTATATCAGACAGTTCGCTATTCCATTGTGGTAAGTTACTTTATGCAAGGAATAGGTATTTCGGGAATTCGTTCACCGTTTTACCGATCACAACGAAACGTGATTGCAATCGTTCCTGGCTTAACGCTTCTGCGAGGAAATTCTTCGCTTCCAGAATTTGAGCCTGTTTCGGAGCCTCTTGAGTGTAGTTACCTGAAAATTATTTAGAAGAATGTAAATTTAACTATATTTGTTTTACGCGTTAGCTTGAAATTGATGATATAAAATGTCAAATATATAATATCTATATTATAGTATTTATAATAATAATATTCGATTGAATACACATTAAGCTAAGATAAAAATAAGGTTTTTGTATTAATTGCTGCGGGTTTAATTGCTATGAACGATTAAATACAAAATTTTTAGGATATTTGATAAACAATCATAATTTTCACGACAACTGAAAATTCTAAGATCTAAGTTGACCTGTCACCCCTCAAGGCTCTTCATTGACCTTCCGAACACCTGTATACTACTAACATTGTCAATTTTTCCAATAAATCAATAAAATCTCATCAGCGCCTAAACCTTAATAATAATAATAATAATAACCTTCATCGAATGGAAATGCTACGACTGGGAATGCGGCGCCACTTGATGCGCAGCAAACTGCATATGTGGATGCTGCCGTCAATATTCCATTTGTGGTTAATTCAGACAATGATGGAATAGTCTCCCACGAACTAGAGAAAATGAGCATATTGGAAGAGTCGATGCTGGAAACTCGCAGCATGCCTCTCGAAAATCGACCGCAACTTCCCCGCATTCCCCTTAGCAAGCGAAATCGGGCTGTCATGCGGGCTCTTAACCCAATGCTGGTGACCTATTTGAAAGCCAGCCTCCTCTTGCGAGACGGACTCAATTCTTTTTGGCGCCGCACTGGCAGTATGCCGTATTATTGGCGCCAAACTTCCCATGGCTGGACGTGCTACGCAACAAAGTAGCGCCATCCCAGCCTGGAGAAAAAGAATCGAGGACCATATCGCAAAGGCAAGGGCCCTTATCGGCAGACTGATAAGCTATTTTCAGGTCGGGTAATAATAGACCGAGAGTTGTGCGCACCGTTAGAATGGCGTTTGCGGGGACAAATATTAGTTTGTCCCAGCCGGATATCACGCAGAAACTAACGGAGCGCATAGATGACCTGAAGCAAAAAATCGCTGCTTGGGGGAAGCGGATTCGGCGATTTAGCGAGAGGTCAAGGCAGTTCAACCAGAATTGTCTCTTCCAGAGTGATCAGAAGAGGCTCTATAAATCATTGGAGCGACCAGAGGTATGTGGAGCGGGCCCAGGACAGGATCAGGCTGACACTGTCGCATTTTGGCGTGGCCTGTGGTCAGAGCCCGTAAACCACAGCGAGGGCCCTTGGATGGAAGTTGTGGCGAGCCAGAGTGCAAGTGTTACGCCTATGGACTCCGTCACCATAACGCCTGAAGACGTGGCTGAGGTGGTCCGTAGGGCCCCGAACTGGAAAAGTCCGGGGCTCGACGGGCTGCATCATTACTGGCTCAAGGGGTTCGTAGTGTGTCACGCTGTGCTCGCCCGACAGTTTCAAGAGGCTCTCGATCAGAAGTCGCTCCCGAGCCTCTTCACTACTGGGATCACTCACTTGGTTCCTAAAGATCAGGATACCACAGACCCGAGCAAATACCGCCCCATCACGTGTCTACCCACCATATATAAGACACTGACATCCATTTTTAGCGCGAGAATCTCAAAATGGATGTCGGGGTGGTGGTCGTGGAACCAAGGAACCACTCCTCATTGACGCGGTCATTGGCAAAGTGGTGAAACGCAACCGTCGGAACTTCTCCGCCGCCTGGATAGACTACAGAAAGGCATTCGACTCGGTGCCCCATACATGGCTAAAGAGAGTCCTCCAGCTGTACAAGATTGACTGTACAGTTGGAGACTTCCTCGAGCAGTGTATGGGGCAGTGGAGTACGATCCTTTGCTATCTGGGCGAGCGGATGATGGCTGCGGAGTACCACATAAGGATAAGAAGGGGTATCTTTCAGGGCGATTGTCTGAGTCCAATCTGGTTTTGCCTCTCTCTGAACCCTCTCAGTACTTTACTAGAGGGCTCCGGGAGGGGATTTCAGCTTCGGAAAGGAGGTACAAAAGTGACCCACCTTTTCTATATGGATGACCTCAAGTTATTCGCCTCCAGTCGCTCCCATCTTATGGAATTGCTAAACATCACTTGTGAATTTAGCAATTCTATTGGAATGGAGCTGGGGACGGATAAGTGTGCGGTCCTCCATGTTGAAAGGGGAAGGGTTGCTAACTCGGAGGGCATAGACTTATCTATACCCGTCAACTTAAGGACCCTTTCCGAGGCTGAAACATACCGATACCTGGGTATGTCACAGAACATCGGTATCGATGAGGCTGGTATGAAACAGTCAGTTTGCGACGTGTTTTATGCACGCTTGATCAAAGTGCTTAACAGCCTTTTGTCCGGTATGAATAAGACACACGCATATAATGTTTGGGTCATGCTTGTTCTCATATATACCTTTGGCATACTCAGGTGGACTCAGACTGAACTTAACGCCCTGGATAGAAAAGTCCGCACTACAATGACGTCCCATAGGATGCATCATCCGAGATCGTCGGTAATGAGGCTGTACTCGTATGCGGCGAAGGCATGGTGGGCGTGGCTTCTTGAGCGCGCTCACCATGCATAATCGCGAAGTGTGCAGCCTCCGTGATTACTTTCTGGCGAGATCGGATGATCCATTCTATAAGGACGTCATTTCTTGTGATAAAGGACTTACCCCTCTATCCTTAGCCAACGAGCAATGGCAAGACCCGGCAGTGCAGAGCATATCCGGCCGGGAGACCGTATGGAAGGAGGAGCTCCACGGGAGGTTCTACAAGGCTCTATATGAGCCTTTCGTAGACACAGTAGCCTCCCTCTACTGGCTGCGCTTTGGTGATCTCTTCGGGGAAACCGAGGGTTTTGTCTGTGCAATACAGGATCAGGTTATTAAGACCAACAACTATCGGAGATACATCCTAAAGGATGGCACTGTCGACATATGTCGAGCTTGTCGCGATCCCGGTGAGTCACTTAGGCATGTCATCTCCGGTTGTTCGGCGCTTTTTAACTCTGAGTACTTGCACAGGCACAACCTAGTAGCCAGAATTCTACACCAGGAGCTCGCTCTGAAATACGGTCTCGTGGATCGGAAATTGCCGTATTGCAAGTACTTGCCGGAAGCCGTGCTCGAAAATGATCGCGCCAGGCTCTATTGGGACCGGGCCATCATCACAGACAGGACTATTCTTGCTAATAAGCCTGATATTGTGCTGATGGACCGGGCACAGTCAAGGATATTTTTGGTCGACATTACCATTCCGTATGACGAGAACCTCGTGAAAGCCGAAACAGATAAGCCTCTCGGGTCATGTGAGGCGGCTGGGACTCACCGCTCCAGGCTCAAATGCAGAAGGCGGTGCTCCTCGATACAACTCGTAGCAAGAATAAAGTTATTTTCTTTCTTTCTTTCTTTCTTTCGACCGCCCGCATCGTCCGCCGGTTTCTTTCTCTTTCCCCCCTAACCCTCGGCCGTTTGGTCTCCCCTGCCGAGGGCCTCCATCTGGTTGGGCTTTTATTTATATATGTATTTTATATTTATTTTATGTTATTGATATTTATGTATATTTATATTTTCATTTTCATTTATAATTATATATTTATAGAACCCAACCAGATGAGAAAACTATATTTATACCCCCCATAATAATATCCTTCTAACCGAATTTCAGCCACGGCGGCCAGCCTCAACGGAGGCTAGCCATCGGCGCAGGACAGGATTATAGTCGCCCAAGTGTATGCGCAAGCACAGGTGCACTCTCTATTCCCTCACTCTCATAATCCGATGGGACGGTAAACCGACATGACCGGAGAGAGATCAGGCGCAGGAACAACGGTTTTACGTGCTTTCCGAAGCGCGGGGGGAGAATTTTTTTGACGGAAAAACTCAATAATTAATTTTTTGGCTCAACCCGGGTTGGCGGAACCCAGGACTTCATGATCAGCAGTCGCATAACGACAACCACTAGACCAACGAGGCAGTCGCCTAAAGCGTAATTATAGCTACAAACATCCTTATGCTCGTAATATGTTTTTTTGAAAATTGAAGTGAAAAGCGTAATTACACTCCAACAGATGGTTTTATACGTGGTCGAGCCATGCTGCAGTTATATTAGTAGTATAGTTGTAGCACGAATCGGTCGGCTCGACCGGGGAAGGACCACACTCTCACAGAATACCAGCGTCAAATAGTAGCTTAATGCTGCTGTGTATGGTGAGTGTAGAGACCCTTTTTACTGGAAACGAGGCATTCATCTTAGTCCTCACGAGTGACAACTCATTTGCATTTTGATTCGTAATCGAGGATATGTGTAGATGTCTTTGGGCCGCAGCAACCACTTACTATCAGGCGGAATGAAATGAAGAAGATTTGTTTGATTTGAAAAAGGGTACATTCAGGAGGTTATTGTAAAGCGTAGTTCAGCTTTTTCAGCCACCTATGGATAGCATGCAAATACATTTTTTGTAATTAAGTTTACTATATTAAAATATCGAATTCAATTAAAATATTCATCTTTTACAAATTACCAATAATAATATCATTCATTCATTCATTACAGCCCTTCATAAGTCCACTGCTGAACATAGGCCTCCCCCAAGTAATGCCACAAAGCACAGTCCTGAGCCACCTGCATCCATCGACTTCCTTCATGTCTTACCAGGTCGTCACTCCATCTAGTGGGGGGTCGCCCTACACTACGCCTACCGGTACGAGGCTGCCACTTGAGAATCTTTCTTCCCCATCGGTTACATTGACTTAAATATTACTAGCGTAAAGACCGGGCCGACCGACCAACAAAAGCGGACCAATGCGTTAGCCCTAAAATTACAGTTTAGGGCCAACCCGAATCGGTCGAAAGTGGTGAGCGCGCAGGACAGATTTGCCTGTCACAAATATGTCTAGTTGCGTGGTAAAAGAATGCAAAAATTACGATACAAATATAAAAAAACATTGGAAATCGTATCATCGGTAAATAACCTTATATTAATTTTGTTACAATTAAATTATTATATAAACGCATTTTTAAAGTTTTATTTTACAATTAGTTTAGTTACGTTACCAAAATTAGGCCAGGGTTGGATTCAGACCCTCAAAAATATCGTACATGGAAAATAAAGTTATACAATTTTAAAAAAATTATATCACATTTGACGTTTACCGTGTAGTGGCGGTTAAGAATATCCACTACCCCATATCTTCCCGTGGGTGTCGTAAGAGGCGACAGAGGGAGACAGGCAGGAGATGGGCAGCAGCATCTTCCTGATAACAGCAACTGTACGACAAAAAAAAAAACTGCGGTTGCCAACCCGCTCGCCAAGCGTGGCAACTATGGCAATATACCCCCCATGAAAAATTACACAAATAGACGGCCCCCAGTCCCCGGCGGCCCCGCTATTCCTGGCTACGGTGGCGACCATGGTAACGGCGGGGCAGGGGGTGCTAAGAATCTCCGGTGGAGGTTCGGTTGTCACCTACGACGACTCGACCTGGCAACATTTAACGCACGCACACTGAGGACTGACGAGAAGATCCTGGAGCTGGAAGAAGAGATAGACAAGTTGCGCTGGAGTATTATAGGATTATCCGAGGTCCGAAGAGAGGGGGAGGACACGGTGATTCTCGAATCCGGCAACTTGTTCTATCACCGGGAGGGCGACCATCTGTCCCAAGGAGGTGTCGGATTTATCGTCCACAAGTCTCTCGTCAACAACGTTGTACAGATTGAGAGTGTGTCGACGAGGGTCGCGTACCTGATACTCAGAATCACCAAACGGTATTCGCTGATGGTCGTACAGGATTACGCACCAACGTCGGCACATTCCGATGAGGAGGTGGAGGAAATGTATGAGGATATTTCCAAAGCCATACATTCCTCCAAAACCCACTACACGGTGTTGATGGGAGACTTCAACGCAAAACTAGGCACAAGAGAAAACGGTGAGCTGAAGTTAGGGAAATTTGGAGTAGGGCAACGGAACCGAAGGGGCCAGCAGCTGGCCGACTTTATGGAGAAAGAGGGACTCTTTATGATGAACTCTTTCTTCCAGAAGCGGCCCCACAGGAAGTGGACCTGGTCGAGCCCCGACGGTTCGACAAAAAATGAGATTGACTTCATTATGACGACCAGACGCCAACTGTTCAGTGATGTCTCAGTGATCGCAAGGGTGAAAACTGGCAGCGATCACCGAATGGTTAGAGGCACACTGAACCTAAACGTTAAGTTGGAGAGGTCTCGTCTAATGAAGTCAACGCTCCGTCCCCCTCGTGCTCTGATCCAAAATCCCGAAAACTTTCAGCTCGAGTTACACAACCGCTTTCAGTGCCTACAAGATTGCAATGCAGTGGACGATATGAATGACAAGCTCGTGGAAACTGTCCATGCGGTCGGAGCTAAGTTCTGCAAGACCCGCCGCAGAAGAACACAAAAACTCTCCGATCACACTCTTAATCTCATGGCTGTTAGACGGGAGATGAGGCTGCAATCGTCAACAGATTTGACAGCATACAGGCAACTGAACAGACAGATCTCCAAATGCATGCGGCGAGACTTACGCAACTTTAATACTGCTCGTATTAAAGAAGCGATCGAGCGGAACCAGGGCTCCAAAGTCTTTGCCAGAGATCTGTCTGCCAGAAAGAGCCAACTGTCAAGACTGAAGACTGAGTGTGGCAGCATCGTTTCCGGGACACCTGAGATTTTGAGTGAGATTGAGAGGTTCTATGGGCAGCTGTACACATCATCGTTGGAGCCACACGCAAGTGTGAGTAACGATCCAAGAGCAAGTCTTATCCGACACTATTCCGATGATATCCCGGACGTCAGTCTAAGCGAGATTAGAATGGCTCTCCAGCACCTTAAAAACGGCAGGGCCCCAGGCGAGGATGGAATTACAGCGGAGCTTCTGAAAGCGGGTGGAACACCGGTACTTGAAGTCCTTCAGAAGCTCTTCAATTCCGTCCTCCATGGTGGCACTACTCCAGAGGCGTGGAGCAGAAGTGCGGTGGTCTTGTTCTTTAAGAAAGGCGACAACGCTCTCTTGAAGAACTACAGACCGATTTCCCTTCTGAGCCGCGTCTACGCGCTGTTTTCGAGAGTCATTACGAATCGTCTCGCACGCAGACTCGACGACTTCCAGCCTCCCGAACAAGCCGGTTTCCGAAAAGGCTTCAGTACCATAGACCACATACATACCCTGCGGCAGATTGTACAGAAGACTGAAGAGTACAATTTGCCACTTTGCCTGGCGTATGTGGACTATGAGAAAGCCTTTGATTCCGTCGAAATTTGGGCGGTGCTGCAGTCCCTTCAGCGGTGCCAAGTTGACTGTCGGTATATCGAAGTGCTGAAGTGTTTGTACAGTAGGGCTACGATGGCTATTCGAGTACAGAACCAGAGCTCGAAACCTATCCAACTGCAGAGAGGTGTAAGACAGGGTGACGTTATATCCCCGAAACTCTTCACCGCTGCTTTGGAAGACGTTTTCAAGCTACTGGACTGGAAAGGATACGGTATTAACATCAATGGCGAGTACATCACTCACCTTCGATTTGCCGACGATATAGTCCTTATGGCAGAATCGCTGGAGGACTTAAGCACTATGCTCAATGACCTCAATAGTGCCTCCCAACGGATAGGTCTTAAGATGAACATGGACAAAACAAAGATTATGTTTAATGTCCATGTCACACCTATGCCGGTAGTTGTTGGGAGCACTATGCTCGAAGTTGTTGACGAGTACGTTTACCTGGGACAAATATTCCGACTAGGTAAGTCCAACTTCGACCGAGAGGTCAATCGACGGATTCAACTCGGCTGGGTAGCGTTCGGGAAATTACGACATATCTTCTCGTCAGGTATACCTCAATCTCTGAAAACTAAAGTGTACAACCAGTGCGTGTTGCCAGTGATGACTTACGGATCAGAGACGTGGTCCTTCACTGCTGGCCGTATGAGGACGCTCAAGGTCGCTCAGCGAGCTATGGAGAGGGCTATGCTCGGAGTTTCTCTGCGTGATAGACTCAGAAATGAGGATATCCGCAGTAAAACCAGATTGACCGACATAGCCCAACGGATTAGTAAGCTGAAGTGGCAATGGGCCGGCCATATAGCTCGAAGAATCGATAACCGATGGGGAAGAAAGGTTCTCGAGTGGCAGCCTCGTACCGGTAGGCGTAGTGTAGGGCGACCCCCCACTAGATGGAGTGACGACCTGGTAAGATATGCAGGAAGTCGATGGATGCAGGTGGCTCAGGACCGTGCTTTGTGGCATTACTTGGGGGAGGCCTATGTTCAGCAGTGGACTTGTGAAGGGCTGTGATGATGATGATGATGATGATTGACGTTTCATGTTTCTTTTTTCCCATGTGCCGTGATTTTGACGTCATGCGTCTAGTTTACCTATACGTTTCGTTTTTTGACGGTTTCATTTTTTTTCTAAAGAACTTAATGTATGTTAAATTTTGAATATTGGTACCTAATATATTTTATATTCAATAAGGGTAAAACGAAGAGGGTACAAAAGAAAAGGATCTAATTCTAATTTTATTAAAAAAACGCGGTACTCATGTACAATACAGAAATTCTCGATATCGTAGGGTTAATATTAAAAAGTAAAAGGACCCAATAATAGTACAAGTCGACCTTTAGGTAAAATTATGGTATATCGCTCAGTACTAATACGATACTATGCACTACAAACTATGAAATAATGTAATAAAAAAAATACAATTAGGATAATTATACTACGAAATCCGACCCTGGTTACGACGTGTTTTGATATGACGTTTGTATTATGACAGATGCGCTACTTTTTCTTGTATTAAAAAGTTATAAGTAAAATATTTAGATTGGCCCATCCTTCCTTTTGAAATCATTGATCGGTTATCGGTTCTTCGAGCTACACAGCCGGCCAATTGCCACTTCAGCTTACTAATCCATTGGGCTATGTCGGTCACTCTGGTTTTACTGCGGATATCCTCATTTCTGAGTCTATCACGCAGAGAAACTCCGGGCATAGCCCTCTCCATAGCTCGCTGAGCGACCTTGACCGTCCTCATACGGCCAGCAGTGAAGGACCACGTCTCAGATCCGTAAGTCATCACTGGCAACACGCACGCACACACGAGTATAGTGTTCCCAACAACTACCGGCATAGGTGTGACATGGACATTAAACATAATCTTTGTTTTGTCCATCTTCATCTTAAGACCTATCCGTTGGGAGACACCATTGAGGGTTGAGCATAGTGCTTAGGTTCTCCAACGATTCTGCCATAAGGACTATATCGTCGGCAAATCGAAGGTGAGTGATGTACTCGCCATTAATGTTAATACCGTATTCTTTCCAGTCCAGTAGCTTGAAAACGTCTTCCAACGCAGCGGTGAATAGTTTCGGGTATATAACGTCACCCTGTCCTACACCTCTCTGCAGTTAGATAGGTTTCGAATGAATGAAATGAATGCCATTTTTGCATCTGTGCTATTGCCCCATATACAGCGTGAGTCTTTATAAAATGCACATATCAGAACCAGGGAAATTACACATAGTTTCATCGACGGAAAAATTACAAAAAAAAAATTATAATTTTTTTATGAATATTTTAAAATTTGAAATTGCAGCTGCTAACCCTATTTAAAAAAAACTGTTATAACTTTTAAACTGAATGTCCTATCAGAATGGAATACATTTTTAAATGATTGTTAATAATAGGTTGTGCCAATAAAGTATAAAATTCCAATAAAATAAACGTCATAAAATTAGAATAAAGAGGTTTTTGATGAAAATCTGGTATTTATTTTATCATTTTTACAATAACTTTAAAATTTCTCGAAAAATTGTCCCCTTAAGGTAAGCGTCCACCTATCGGCATCGCACGCATCGCACGCATCGCATCATACGGATCATAGTATTCTTTGTATAGAAAGTCATACAAGTGCGTCCACCAATCCGCATCGTACGGATCGCATAGATCTGCTTGTCGGCAATGCCGACGCTCATGCTCCGAGGGGCAACTTTTGCGATGCGTGCCGATGACGTCATACGGAATGTCGATCAGTGGACGCACAGCGCACGCGCCCGCTCCGCGTCGCCGGTCACCCGCCATTTGCATTTGATGATCGTCGCATCCACATGCGTTGTCGCATCATGGACGCCGCCTAACTAATTGCAGTCGTGCAAGAGTATGAAGAGTTATATAATTTAAGACACTCTTTTTATTCTAACCAACAAAGGAGGGACAATATGTGGGAAGAAATTGGACAAAGATTAAATAAAAGCGGTAATTTTGTAGGTTACGTTGGGATAATTCCATTTTTTATGAAAACCTTTTTCTGATTTAATCCACAACTCTTCAGTAGGTTTTGGCTATGGGCTGTAGGGGTTGAATAATGGCTTCGCAGGTGGAATACACAATTCTTCGCACTGTTCGTTCACCAATCCTGAAGGAAAACGACAGTGATCGAAAAGAGTTCCCAGTGGCTAAGACCTGACCTGAAACAAAAACATATATTTAGGTATTTATTTATTGTTACAGGTAACGCATGCAAGGAGCGATGGACCAGAATTAGAGATAACCATAGGAAGGCTTTGAATTTGCGCAAGACAAAAAGCGGTCAAGCAGCATCAAATATAAAAACTCCTAAATTCTCACAAGAACTTTCTTTTCTAACACCGTATCTAAACGATGAGGAAGAACGGCGTTCAAACCTATCACCTAGAAGTGCCAACAATAACGAAGAAACACAACTTGAGTCACTGAATGAATTAGGTTATCCAGATAAAAATGTATCAAGCGATGCACAAAGTGAACATTCCACGCAATCCTTGGGATCATCACGAATTATCCGTAAGAAATCGAGCTTCGCAACTTCACAAGCTTCACAAGCCCCAACTGCAGCTAGCGTTCTACAAGATTACTTAACAAGGACGGCCGAAACCAGAAACCAGAGCCATCCTCTTCTCGATTTTTTCATAAATATGGCAAAAACAGTAAAGACTTTTTCTTTACAAGACCAAGTTAACATTAAAGCTCAATTATTTAAAATGGTTAACAACGTAGAGAAGAGGCTTGCGACTACTTCAATAGATCGTGTTTCTGACCCTTCGACATCTAACGTGAGAATAGTTTCAAATGTAATGCTCAGTCCGGCACCGACTGGTTCGAATTCAATTTCAATCGGATTCTTCAAATACAACGATGTTTGCTGCACCTGCTATGAATGAAACTCTTCACATTCTGCCTCTGGAACCTTCGACAGTGTATTCTCGGTCATCAACACCTACACCCAACGAAAGGCCAATGATGTCTCCACCTGACACTAGCCAATCCATTTTAGAAGATAAAAATAATGTGACACTCGGCCAATATTTACGTCTTAAATAAGTGCCTACCTAACTACCTATATGTAACCGATGTTTAATTTTAATAAATAATTACCTTACACACCAGCAAGCCTTTCTTCTGGTCGTATAGCCTCCCTGTATGCTGTATTCTGTCTTAATAAATGTGGTTTCAGGATATCAACAAGAGTATTAAATTTAACTTGAGTCATGCGAAAATATTCGAAGAATTTGGCATCATCGTTTAGCAAATCAGGAAACAGTGTGTGATACGAGGGTGGTACTGAAAATTTCGAGAATCAAGGAAGTGACACAACATTACTATTTAAAAATGTATTTACTGCTTTTCGAAGTATTCCCGCGAAATTTGACACATTTTTCATACGGTGGAACCAATCATTGAAGCAACCATTCCATTCAGAAGTTAGGGTCTCCAAAATGGCCGTTTTATAGGCGTCCACAGCTTCTTCAGGTGATGAAAATCTCTGTCCACGCAATTTATTCTTTGTTTTAGGGAAAGTATAGAAATCACTAGGGCTTAGGTCGGGGCTGTACGGCGGATGGTCTAATAATTCTATGTTTTCTTGCTCTAAAAACTCTTTTGTTCTGTTTGCGGTGTGAGAACTCGCATTGTCGTGATGGAGGATGATGCGGCGGTTGCAGTTCTCTTTACGGATTTCTGAAACGACCTGTGGCAAACACATGCTAGCATACCATTCTGCATTAACCGTTCTTTGTCTCTCAAGAGGAATAGTCGTAACATAGCCGGTTTTGGAGATAAACGTGGCCACCATTTTTTTGCAACACTCCGTGAACGAACAATTTTTGTTGGCTTTAACACATTTTCGAACACCCAAACTCGTGACTGGTTTTTTGTTTCGGGTTCGTACGCGTATATCCAAGATTCGTCACCTGATACGACGTTGCATACAGCATTTGAGGATCCTGCGTGGAATCTTTCGAGAGTTCCGACGCACCAAGTAACGCGAGCCACTTTTTGCTCTTCACAGAGCAGAGCTTTTTTACACCTAATTGTTCATGCAAGATTATTCGTATTTGACTCATGCCAATGTCTAAAGTGTGTGAGTGCCTGAGTTTCGCGGTATGTCACATGTCGATCTTCCTCAATCAGCTTACGCACAGCATCAACGTTTTCTTGGGTGGCTGCAATTTTTGGACGACCTTGACGGGGATCATCACTGAGCTTGACACGTCCACGTTGAAATTCAGCAAACCAGCGATAAATTGTGGTTTTGGATGGGGCTTCATCAACAAATGCAGAAATCATCCGGTCAATACACTGTTTTTGTGTTAAACCACTTCGAAAGTCATAATAAATCATCGCTCTTGAATTTTCTCGAGTCAATTCCATTTTCTCAACGACTAAACAAGTTTGACAAAACCTTGTGACAAGACCGAGAATCTTTTTTTTAAAGAAATAAATGGTATTCGATTTTTAAAACCAAGGAGTTTTCAATTAAAAAGATTTTAATATGACAGGAACAGTGGAAATATTCCATTCCCGATACTTTTAGTGCAGCCTAGTGTTCTCCATGTTGCGATCTTTTCTTGAAAATATCGTGTACTTAGATATTATGTTTCCTTTTTCTAGAGTTCTTAGCTTTTTCTTCTTTTTCTTGAGCTAACAAAGAAGCAATTACGATAGTTTCTTCTTCGTTTCATTCCATTATCTCACAAACAACACGTCAACACGTACCACTCGCCACTAAGATCCGTATGAAAATGACGTCGGCAATCCGATTACTAGAGGTTGCGTCAGAAAATGCGATCGGTACCGATACAGTGGACGCACAGTACAAAATTGGTCCGTTTGATGAAATGCGTGCGATGCCGATAAGTGGACGCTTACCTTAAATCCTACTTTTTTAATCTTATGTTATTCTACGTCATATTAGCTTTCTAATGGTAAAAAATGCACGTTTTTTACTCAAATACAACTTTATTAATTAGCATTTCAAAAAAAGCACATAACTCAGTTAAGCACCGTAACAGGTAGAGAGAACTACTTTTAGGAATAAAACTTGATTTCACCTACATAAATCATTTATTAATTATTAAAACAAATTGAAAAAAAAAGCCTAATGAAGCAAATGTTCAAAATGAAGACCCCGTTGTTGCAAACACATTGTGGCGCGAAGCAAAATTTGCTCTGTGGCTCTACGTGTCATTTCGGGGTCGTTTCGAATTTCATTAGCAACACGCAAAACTTCACACCCTTTGTTTCATTGTCCCCATAAAAATAGTCGAGCGCGTCAGATCAGGGGAACGCGCCGGCCACCCAACAGGTCCTTGTCGGTCGATCCAGCGGCGCGGATAATTTTTATTAAAAAATGTCCTTTTTTTATAGGATAGGGTGACAAACGAGCACACATTCCACCTGATGGCAAGTGGTTGCTGTGGCTCATAGACATCTACATCTATCCTCGATTACGGATCAAAATACAGATGCGTTTTCTCTTTACTATACTACTATATACTGCACATCATTCTTCCTGCAGCGGCACATACTCCAACAGCAACGGCAATTTGTCCCTTAAAAGTTCAAGAAATCTCTCTCCAGTTAGGGCCCTCGGGAGTATAATTGGACCAATCAAAATGTTGTCAATGAGTGCGGCCCACACATTTAATGGGAATTTAACTTGATATGTTGAAGCCCTTTTCAGCTTAGGGCTTTCACCTTTTGGACACCACTTATGTAAATTACGATAGTTTACGATTCCGTCTCTCATGAATTGAGCTTCATCCATCCACAGAATTGTTTTAGGGAATTCGGGATTGTCTCTTGTTTTTTTTTAAATTCCATGTGGACATAACGCACCTTGGACGCCAATCCACATCTTCATGTAAGTGCTGTACCCTTTGATAACGGTAAGGATGCAATCCTTCTTTCCTCAAGACGCGCCATACTGATTTTTGAGACACGCCATGACGTAAAGCGAAACATCTAGTACTAGTAGTCGGGTCAACAAACAAATCATTCAAAATGGCTTCCTCAATAGCACCATCAATAGTAACACATGGTTCGCGGCGGTCTCGAGCAAATCCAAGTCCGGTGTTAGCAAGTCTTCTATGCACTTCCTGGAAGTTTCGGGCTGATGGCGCAGGGCGTCGATTTGGAAACGCATCTAGATAAGCTGTGTGAGCAGCTCTAGCACTCCCCCGGTACATTCCATAGTAATGATGGATATCAGCAATGTGTGCCGGAGAGAAATCACTTATGTGCGGCATCGAGACCAAAAAAGCGAACGCGTGGCGCGATAACGACTTTGGCAAAAGAAACACGAATAGCAGCGGCGAATAGTTCAGAGCGACTAAAATTCATTCAATTGTCCTACGACTGGACACGTCTCGCCGCACCCGCACCTACAGCCCGCTCGCCTCTACAATGACTCACCCATACGAAAGGGTTTCTACCAGCCTGGTAAACAATGGCGGGTGCGTAGCTAAACGATGCGCAAACGCAAGGGCTTTTTTCAAACACTCATAGAAATGGTTGCATTTGAGTAATAAACTTGCATTTTTTACCATTAGAAATTTCGAAGTAATAATATATACTATTACTTCGAAGTAATAATATAATAATATATATTAATACGAAGTAGAATTACATAGGATAAAAAAGTAGGATTAATAAGACGATTTTTCGAGAAATTTTGAAGTCATTGTAAAAAAAGATGAAAAAAAATACCATATTTTCATCAAATATCTCTTTATTCTAATTTTATCGCTTTTTTTTGGAAATATTTACTTTATTGGCACGGCTTATTATTAACAATAATTCAAAAATGTATTCCATTTTGATAGGACATTCAGTTTAAAAGTTATTTAAATAGTGTAAGCTGCTGCAATTTCAAATTTTAAAATATTCATAAAAAAATTCTTTAATTATTAAAATTTCTTATAACTTTTTTTTATAAATTTTCCGTCGAGGAAATTATATGTAGTTTCCCTGGTTTTGATGTGTGCACTTTATAAAGACTCACACTGTATTAAGCCCGTATTGCAGAACGGATTCCACATATGTAAAGTACGTAGTAAGTGCAGAATTTTTTGTGGCTACTTTGCTTAGTTTATAAAGTGCGTTCGAAAATCTATTTACTTTTTTACAAATATGCCCAACTTGACGTTTCCAATTTAGTTTTTGATCTATCCATATACCTAGGAATTTTGTCATATTTGTACTTTTTAGTTTGTCCTTCAAAATACAAGTACATTGTCTGGTATAATGTCATTGAAATTTATAAAATAAGTTTTGTCAAGATTTACAAGTAGGTTATTATTTTTAAGTCGTTCTATTGTTTTTACTGTACCGTTAATGTCATTAATGTGGTCTTTTAGTGATTGTTTATCGTCTGATTTCACTATTACAGATATGTCGTCAACAAATAAAATGCATTTGTGTTTAGTTACATTCGGAAAACACTACCCTGTGGAACTCTTTTTTTTTCCTTAAAATCTGATTTGTGATGTGCTCGTTTGCCTCCCTATCTTATAAAAATGGCTGTAGCCAACTTAAAACCAAGAAGGTCACAGATGCGCTGTCACCTCTGAGGCCTACTGAATGCCTTTCAGCCTGAAATCATACTGGCTGTGTAATGTGTATACTCTGCAAGCCGAAACACAGCAGTCAAAATACTATAAACGATTTTCGACTAACAATATCTTCAAATTTGTATAGATTAAAAATTATTTGTTATCTGTCTTTGTCTATCAACAGGCCTTTCCATTGATATGAACAGGTTATGGAATATGTATATTTTATATAATTCATTTTGGCATAATAACTTAATTTCTTGTTATACTTATTTCAATGGGTTAAAATTTGACGGCTGTGATTGTGTGTGACATATGCAGTGTTCAATGCAAAAAGGTAAAAGGCATTACCTAAATTTCCTAGCTGTAACATATTCAAATTTTTTTATGTACTTAGAATAGTCAAAACTTAATAAAATCACATTTTTTAAAAATTACCTATAAAAGCTAACACTAAGACATCCGCAGAGTATTGAGGAAACAGAGGCGACCGTCTTCTCCAACCGAGAGCTTCGAACGTCTCCCCATCTGAAGATATCATGAAGTTATACGGTATACTTGATGTGTTTGTCGCCTGTAAAAATAATTACAAATTGAATTAGTACGTGTTTATGTCACTGCTATTAGTCTTAAAAGAAACGCCCTCATTAATCACCTAACTTATCCAAAGTGGAGAGAATTTGCCGTAATCCCTGCGCATGGAAGTTAAATTGTTGATCGCAATACCAGACGATGCTGCTACTTTCGACGCAGGTCTAAGAATATTATTATAATAAATAATTTAATATAACTACAGGTGGCCACAAGAATATGTTGTCATGCATTTCCCAAATAAGGAACTTATGTTTTTTACGAAGCTTTTTTCCAAAATGTCAACCTCGCTTGAACTCACTAATCGGTCAGCTCATTGCGTTTCATTAAAATCTATTTAGGCGTTTACGAGTGATTGTGTAATGAACATCCAAAAATATTCACAAACCTTTACATGTATATTTACACATCATAAGATTTTTATTTTATAGCCTATAAATATGAGTGGCAGCTTCATACCGGTATGCGAAATTTTTAGGGCACTCTTCACTAGATGGAACTAGAGTCACGACCTGGTAAGACATAATGGATGCAGCTTTCTGAGCCGTGTTTCGTGGCGATTCTTGGGAGAAGACTATGTTCAGCAGTGGACTTTCGAAGGGTTGTAATGATAACGAAGTACTGAATATGATCTACAGATTAACTGTTACACAAAGCCCGGAGAATAATTAAAACACACAGGAGGAAACACGGAGGTCAATATTTTAAATATAACATGGAGGTAAATATTTTTAACGTTGTAGAGCCAAGCTGCAGCTATATTGGTCTATAGTGGTATAGCACGAATGGGTCCCCATTTGTACCACACTCTCACAGAATACCAGCGTAAAATAGCAGATTAATGCTGCTGTGTTTCATATAATGAGTGTAGAGAACTGGAGATCCTTGTTACTGGAAATGAGGCATTCCATCTCAGGGGTGACAACGCATCTGCATTTTGATTCTTAATTGAAGATAAATGTAGATGTCTATGGGCCACAGCATCCACTTACCACCAGGTGGACTGTGTGCTCGTTTGTCACCCTTATTCTATAAAAAATATTTCAAATGATGTTCAATTTGTAATCAGACGGCTAATTGATATAAAGTGATACTAAATATTTTTGATTCTAATTATTTGTTTTAAATAATCTGTATCAGCTCTTAAGTTAACTGTAATTTATGACATCCACACGATCGCTAGCAACAGAGTTTGGCCTATTTAAAACATACATACCTACCTATGAAAGACACGCTAAGTTCTTATAAAATCTTAAAACATATGATTCATAAAGACGAGTAAGAACAATATCATCATCTACAGATTTTAACAAAAATCGCAATGGCTAAGCAAAGCAATCAAGGTGCAGAAATTTAATTGACTTACAAATTACAAGTATTTTGATAATCTAGATTCAACAAATGAATCAATTTAAGTGTAAGCAGAATGATTAAAAAAACGAACGAGTATTTTTATAAAAGACTAGCGATCTGCCCCGGCTGCGCACGGGTGATTCTACAACAGCGCCACCTACCGGGTCCAACTATGTTTATAAAAGTTTATATTACTAGCGATCTGCCCCGGCTTCGCACGGGTGATATCTCGATTCTACAACAGCGCCACCTACCGGGTCCAACTATGTTTATAATAAGTTTACTAGCGATCTGCCCCGGCTTCGCACGGGTGATATCTAGATTCTACAACAGCGCCATCTACCGGGTCCAACTATGTTTATAAAAGACTAGCGATCTGCCCCGGCTTCGCAGGGGTGATATCTGGATTCTACAACTGCGCTAACTACCGGGTCCAACTACGTTTATAATAGACTAGGGATTTGCCCCGGCTTCGCACGGGTGATATCTAGATTCTACAACAGCGCCACCTACCGGGTCTAACGTATGCATATAACCTTCGCGGTGCAAGCAATATGTTGATAAGTGTTAAGTTTTATTATTATTATGCGACCATGCGCCGGCTTCGCACGGGTGATATCTGGATTCTACAACAGCGCCACCAACCGGGTCCAACTATGCATATAACCTTCGCGGTGCAAGCAATGTGTTGATAAAGTTTTATATTATTAGCGACCTGCCCCGGCTTCGCACGGGTGATATCTGGATTCTATAACAGCGCCACCTACCGGGTCCAACTATGCATATAACCTTCGCGGTGTAAGCAATATGTTGATAAAGTTTTATATTATTAGCGACCTGCCCCGGCTTCGCACGGGTGATATCTGGATTCTACAACAGCGCCACCAACCGGGTCCAACTATGTTTATAAAAGACTAGCAATCTGCCCCAGCTTCGCACGGGTGATATCTAGATTCTACAACTGCGCCACCTACCTCGGGGTCCATGAAACATAACTATGCATAAAACCTTCGCGGTGCAAGCAATATGTTGATAAAGTTTTATATTATTAACGATCTGCCCCGGCTTCGCACGGGTGATATCTGGATTCTATAACAGCGCCATCTACCGGGTCCAACTATGAATATAACCTTCGGGGTGTAAGCAATATGTTGATAAAGTTTTATATTATTAGCGACCTGCCCCGGCTTCGCACGGGTGATATCTGGAATCTATAACAGCGCCACGTACCGGGTCCAACTGTGTTTATAAAAGACTAGCGATCTGCCCCGGCTTCGCACGGGTGATATCTAGATTCTACAACAGCGCCACCTACCGGGTCCATACTATGTATTTATGTATGTTTATAAAGGTTTATATTACTAGCGATCTGCCCCGGCTTCGCACGGGTCATATCTGGATACTACAACAGCGCCACTTACCGGGTCAAACTATGCATATAACCTTCGCGGTGCAAGCAATAGTGAAGTTTTATATTATTAGCGACCTGCCCCGGCTTCGCACGGGTAATATCTGGATTCTACAACAGTGCCACCTACCGGGTCCAACTATGTTTATAAAAGTTTTATATACTAGCGATCTGCCTCGGCTTCGCACGGGTGATATCTGGATTCTACAACTGCGCCACTTACCGGGTCCAACTATGCATATAACCTTCGCGGTGCAAGCAATGTGTTGATAAAATTTTATATTATTAGCGAACTGCCCCGAGTATGCACGGGTGATATCTGGATTCTACAACAGCGCCATCTAGGGTACTACGTTTATGCGTGGGTTTAGCACGGGTCCAACTATGCATATAACCTTCGCGGTGCAAGCAATATGTTGATAAAGTTTTATATTATTAGCGACATGCCCCGGCTTCGCACGGGTGATATCTGTATTCTACAGCAGCGCCACCTACCGGGTCCAACTATGTTTATAAAAGACTAGCGATCTGCCCCGGCTTCGCACGGGTGATATCTAGATTCTAAAACAGCGCCAGCTACCGGGTCCAACTATGCCTTCGGGTGAAGCAATATGTTGATAAAGTTATTAACGATCTGCCCCGGCTTCGCACGGGTGATATTGATTCCAAAACAGCGCCACCTACCGGGTCCAACTATGTTTATAACAGACTAGCGATCTGCCCCGGCTTCGCACGGGTGATATCTAGATTCTACAACAGCGCCACCTACCGGGTCCAACTATGTTGGTCAAGCTATAAAAGTTTTATATTACTAGCGACCTGCCCCGGCTTCGCAGGGGTGATATCTGGATTCTACAACTGCGCCAACTACCGGGTCCAACTACGTTTATAATAGACTAGGGATTTGCCCCGGCTTCGCACGGGTGATATCTAGATTCTACAACAGAACCACCAACCGGGTCCAACTATGCATATAACCTTCGCGGTGCAAGCAATGTGTTGATAAAGTTTTATATTATTAGCGACCTGCCCCGGCTTCGCACGGGTGATATCTGGATTCTACAACAGCGCCACCAACCGGGTCCAACTATGTTTATAAAAGACTAGCGATCTGCCCCGGCTTCGCACGGGTGATATCTAGATTCTACAACTGCGCCACCTACCGGGTCCAACTATGCATATAACCTTCGCGGTGCAAGCAATATGTTGATAAAGTTTTATATTATTAACGATCTGCCCCGGCTTCGCACGGGTGATATCTGGATTCCACAACAGCGCCATCTACCGGGTCCAACTATGAATATAACCTTCGCGGTGCAAGCAATATGTTGATAAAGTTTTATATTATTAGCGACCTGCCCCGGCTTCGCACGGGTGATATCTGGATTCTACAACAGCGCCACCTACCGGGTCCAACTGTGTTTATAAAAGACTAGCGATCTGCCCCGGCTTCGCACGGGTGATATCTAGATTCTACAACAGCGCCACCTACCGGGTCCAACTATGTTTATGTATGTTTATAAAGGACTAGCGATCTGCCCCGGCTTAGCACGGGTCATATCTAGATACTACAACAGCGCCACCTACCGTGTCAAACTATGCATATAACCTTCGCGATGCAAGAAATATGTTGATAAAGTTTTATATTATTAGCGACCTGCCCCGGCTTCGCACGGGTGACATCTGGATTCTACAACAGCGCCACCTACCGGGTCCAACTATGTTTATAATGTAAGTTTTATATTACTAGCGACCTGCCCCGGCTTCGCACGGGTGATATCTAGATTCTACAACAGCGCCATCTACCGGGTCCACCTATGTTTATAAAAGACTAGCGATCTGCCCCAGCTTCGCACGGGTGATATCTAGATTCTACAACTGCGCCACCTACCGGGTCCAACTATTCATATAACCTTCGCGGTGCAAACAATATGTTGATAAAGTTTTATATTATTAACGATCTGCCCCGGCTTCGCACGGGTGATATCTGGATTCTACAACAGCGCCATCTACCGGGTCCAACTATGCATATAACCTTCGCGGTGCAAGCAATATGTTGATAAAGTTTTATATTATTAGCGACCTGCCCCGGCTTCGCACGGGTGATATCTGGATTCTACAACAGCGCCACCTACCGGGTCCAACTGTGTTTATAAAAGACTAGCGATCTGCCCCGGCTTCGCACGGGTGATATCTAGATTCTACAACAGCGCCACCTACCGGGTCCAGCTATGTTTATAAAGGACTAGCGATCTGCCCCGGCTTCGCACGGGTGATATCTAGATTCTAAAACTGCGCCACCTACCGGGTCCAACTATGTTTATAAAAGACTAGCGATCTGCCCCGGCTTCGCACGGGTGATATCTAGATACTACAACAGCGCCACCTACCGTGTCCAACTATGCATATAATTGGGTGCAAGCAATATGTTGATGAAGTTTTTATGCGACCTGCCCCGGCTTCTCACGTGTGATATCTGGATTCTACAACAGCGCCATCTACGGGGTCCAACTCTATTTATAAAAGACTAGCGATCTGCATCGCGAACTGCAAGCAATATGTTGATAAAGTTTTATCGCAATCTGATGAACGGTATGGCAGCGCACGAAATACAAACAAACAAATATTAATTTTTATATATTAGATTACGTTATCTATTAGATTACTATTACTAGGTTACTATTAGATTATCCGCTTTTTAGTTACAGCAATAATATAGTGATAAAACATTGTAGTGGTGGTGCAAGAATATTTACTACCTCATATCGTCCCGAGGGTGCCGTAAGAGGCGATAGAGGGAAAACTAACCAAGAGAAGGGCAAAACTGCGGTTGCGAACCCGCATGCCAAGCGTGGCAACAATGGTAAAGTTCCCCCATGAGGCAATCTATGGACATAAATACCTAACATATATAAGAGATGGAATAATATGGAAAGACGAATCAGGTATTAATAAAGCACAGACAAACTTTTGGTATGTAAACATATTTGTCATTAAAGATAAAATAACGTAATAAAGACCACATACCAACTTACGAAAATGACAACTTAATGCTGATGTGGAATAAAACTATAATAGATTTTATTATAAGAAATAATTATAATGATACATTAGTATCATTATAATTATTTCTTATATTGTGACTCATTAGAGTCATTCATTCTTTGTACATAAAGTTGGACAAAAATACCTGGGCATATAAGCTTCACAAGGCGTTAGAAAAAATTATAATTTTTTCAAGGATGTCACCTATTTCATCCGAATCCATCATATCATATTTCATAGAACCAATTACGAGAAACCAAGTATATAAATACATATAACATACAAGAATTGCCAGCATAAAGTGTTACGATATTTAACGTGGCTCTAGCGACACTGCAGTCATGAGTGAGTCGGCTCGACCAGGGCAGGACCTCGCTCTCACGGAACACCAGCGTGAAGCAACAGAATAACGCTGCGTGAGTGTAGGGAACCGGGGACATTTTCTATTGGTAATGAGACGTTTCATCTCAGTACTCAGGATTGTGAAGGTATCTGCATTTTGATTCTCATTCGTTGCTAGATGTGGATGTCTATGGGCAGCATCACCATCTCAACACCAGCTGGCCTATGTGCTCGTTCGTCACTATTAATCTATAAAATAAGTTTTAGGCGTCTATGGTCTTTGACTCAACTTATCTTAGAGCAAACAACCAGGTGGATTGTGTGCCCGTTTGTAACTATTACTTGTTTAAAATATCATGACCTAATAAGTAAAATGAAAAAACTATAATAAATAAACACATTATGTTCACATTCGCGTATTGCGCATCAAAATAGGACTAAGAAACATCATATCCCAATGACCAATAATCATTCCGGTATAAGAGATTAAAAGGGCTATGTAAACCCTGTTTTATACTTTCATATTTTTTACAATATCCGGTTATTCATTATTTTTATTATGCTCCATGAAACAAGAGATTGACAACAGCATTTTCCTTTAATAATATATAGATAATTTTCAGGATTCTATAAAAAGTTATTTCAGGTAACTTTAGACAGATTTGCTATTCTAATGTGTTCCTTAGCTATCTTACAAATGTGGTTAGAAAATGTATGGGAATGACATAATTACCGAACGTTAAGTCACGTCACTGTCACGTGGCTTACCGTTGATTTGATTCACTGTTATAGTTTCATAAAGCGATAATGATCGCACTATGTTATCTTGACTAACCCTGTAGGAATTATTTCGCCGTGGGTGGCGGCGAAAGAGAATCGCACCACCCGTCTACTCCGTGCGTGTCATATGAATCGATTATAATTGCCAGATCGGTCTCTGATTTTGTCAAATTATTACGCCGCCGGTATGAATATTTTGCAATAAAACATTGTAAAATATTCACACCGGCGCGGCGACAGAATCAGTAAATAATACAACAGTACAACAAAGTACACACAACATCAAGAACATATTTTCACGCTATAGCCGTGTATTTTGGTATTTTGATATTTTCGAATAAGAATACAATCAATGTTTTTTTTACTTTTGAAGAAAATCTTGACAGGCAAGGTGAATATTAATATGGATAATGATATTATAGCAATTTTTTAACGATACAATCAACATCCACCACTGCTATATCCTATGTTGTTCCTTATATAAATTAAATATTATTTATATTTATATTAGTATTTTTACAAAATTAAAGTCTAGCAATATTTGAGGCAAGACGATCAAAACTGAATGATAAATAAAAGTGCTGGAAGATCTGAAATTCCTTCTACTAATATTCTTATTGATCGAATCAAAACTAACAAACATCACTTTGGCGGGTTTAGCCATTTTTTTAAAGAATAAGAGTGATAAACAAGGACACAATCTGCCGCGACTAAACTAGTTGGGGTAGATACTGGAAACGCGGTTACGCGGCATTCCATCTTAGTCCTCACAGGTAATATAGCACATAACACATCTGCATTTTTATCAAACTTACTAGACTAAAATAAACTTATTATTTGCGGACGTGACGGTTCACCTGATGTTAGGTAACTACCGCCGTCCACGAACAACTGCAACATCAATGCAGGAATTGCAGGTGCGTTGCCGGCCTTTTAGAAAGGAGTAAGCTCTTTTCTTGAATGTCCCCAGGTCGTATCGGTCCGGAAAAATCGCCGGTGGTAACCTATTCCACAGAGAGGTCGTACGCGGAAGAAAACTCCTAGTGAAACGTACAGTAGTGGATCGCCAAGCATCCAGATGGTGTGGATGGTATAGGAAGATCTGCCGTGTAGTGCGTTCATGACATTTGGCGGCTGGGATTAATCCAAACAATTCCAGAGCACTCCCCGTGGTAGATGCGAAAGAAAATGCAAAGAGATGTAACATCTCTTCGCAGCCCTAGTGAATCGAGCTGATCGGAAAGCACTCGGTCGTCAACTATTCGAGCCGCTCTGCGCTGGATGCGTTCAAGTGTACGGAGCTGGCTCTGAGGAAGCCCAGCCCAGAGATGTGAACAGTATTCCATGTGAGGGCGAACCTGCGCCTTGTAAAGTTGCAGGCGGTGTGCCGGCATGAAATACTGTTCCGCTCTGCTGAGCAAGCCAAGCTTCTTAGAGGCCAATTTGGCGTAAGTGACCACAAAACTGCACGTCACTCGATATGTCGACGCCGAGGATTCCGATACTGGCGGAAGCAACAAGGGGAGTGTCTTGAACTTGAGGAGATACGACAAAGGGGTTCTTTTTAGCGGTTAACGTGCAAACTTGTGTCTTCTCAGAGTTAAACTGGTCTAGATTTAGTGACCCCCAACCGAGACTTTGTTCGGCAAAGACTCGACTTCAAACATAAGTTTGTCACGGTACCCGGAGACGTTTTCCCGAGAAATATTAGCACGGCCGGTATACAGAGCATCACCAGTGCTGTCATCCGCATAGCAATTAATGTTACCGGTTTACAACATATCATGAGGATATGCAGAAGAAACAGCGTTGGTCAGCACGCAGCCTTGTGGAATTGCAGCAATAATAAGCTTGTAATCATAGCTTGCACCGTCTACCACGACCTTGATACTCCGATCGGCAAGAAAGCTGGTGATCCAATTGCACAATTTCTCGCGAAGCCCACCATAGGAAGGGAGCATCGAAAGAAGCACTTTGTGCCTAACCCGATCGAAGGCTTTCGCAATGTTCAAACTACCGGCCAATACCTCCCTCTTGGACTCTACTGCCTTCGCTCATCGATGAGTCAGGTAAACCAGATCACCAGCTGATCAACCCCGACGAAAACCGTATTGGTGGTCACTAATCAGCTGGTGATCCTCAAGGTACCACATGAGCTCGCAGTTTGTAATGGATTCCATTATTTTGGAGAACATAGAGGTGATGGCGATAGGCATGTAGTTTGACGGATCTGAGCAATCGCCTTTTTTAGGGTTCGGGTGGACGAAAGCCGTCTTCCACGATTTTGGGAATACACCTAGGGAGTATCGTATGGTGAGTGTAGAGAACCGGAGACCCTTTTACTGGAAACGAGGCGTTCCATCTTTGTCCTCAGGGGTGACAACGCATCTGCATCTTGATTCTTAATCAAAGATTGATGTAGGTGTCTATGGGTCACAACATCCAGTTACCATCAGGTGGACTATTTGTTGTTTGTCATTCTTATTCTATTAAAAAACGTGAAATCACTTTGAATCTTGTAACTAAATTTACCTGTATCGCATTCAGCAGCTTAGCGCAGTCCGATGTGCCGTAACACTGCCTCGTGCCCGTCTCGACGACTATCACCTGACTTCCCTTTGTTGAAGGTTTCTGGGCAAATGTCTGGATCTGGTTGATCTTATACCATTAGAAACGGCTCACCATAAGCACCAGCTGCTCGACAGGCGGTAGAACGTTCTCTGTAAAATACGTCACATGTCTTATAAGAATTTTGTTGTTTTCCAGGCTGGTATTGTCCTTGCATGTTAATATTTATTTTTATGTATTTAATTAAGTACACCAACGATTGTTGCAACAATACAGAAACAGTAAGCACACATCAACTTAGAAATTTTAAATTAGAATGTGGAAAAAGAGGTCCAGTGAAAAGCCAGTTTAAAAAATATTTAGAAAATAGAAATATGTTGCTCGTGTAAACGGAGTGGATAGTAGGATAGGAAAAGTAAAATTTGGTGTACCGGCTGGCTCTGTGTTTAGCCCGATCTGATATATAATGCACGTCAACAGCATGATAAATGTTATTAAGAATTGTAGAATATACATGTATGCTGACGATACCTGCCTCGTGTATAGTGCAAAAAGTAGTAGCCAAATACAGTTAAAAGTGCAGCAGGATTTAAAAAATTTAATAAAGTGGTCCCATGACAATGGTATTATCATGAACTTGAATAAAACCAAATTTATGGTAATATCATCACCCTATAACCGTTCTAGAAAAACAGTAGATATAGCTTTTATGGGTCACACTTACGATTGCCTGCATACTGACCAGTCGAGCTCTCTGCCGCTACGAAAAGCTACAATGTGTAACAAACTATAAATATTTAGGGTTGGTTATAGGTATTCTACATGATTACAGTATTAGGTAAACTGAATCATAAAAGATATGTTGTGAACCGAGGAATCATGTATTATGCCTTAGTAGACGCAACGATCGGATATGGCTTAGGTGCATATGGACTTACATTCCCAACATATTTTAACAAAATAAAGACTATGCAGATAAGATTCTTAAAGATACTAGTTGATCCTAATACGAAAAATGCTCTAGATAAAAATTATGAAATGTTACTTAAAATTTGCAAAATAATTCCCATAGACATGAAAGTAAAATCCATCATCATATTAGAACAGCATGGTATGGTAACATTTAAGACACCTACGACATATATAATGCCGAAGCGCCAAATTACTCAAAGGAGGAAATATCTCATACCTAGGGCTGAAAATTACTTTGGACGGCGTACAAGGCAATGGATAACTCCAACTTTGTGTAATGAGGTAGCGGATATATATGACGAAAGCTTAACTAAGTCACAGCCCAAATCCATCTTGAGGAAACATTATCTGTCGTTGTGTCCATAGTGGTGAATGTTTCTTTAATTATTTATGTGTTAATTTAAGTATTTATAAGTACCAGACATTGTTATTAAGGAGTGTGAAAAGATAAACTGTTGCGTTGCCGACAAACTGGCTTACAGTTTTGCAATATTTAAAATGTAAATAATGTGCACTCTTTATAGGAATAAAAAAAAGATATTAATTGCACAATCGATTAATCGCATGCTTCAAGTTACGTATCTATATCTTGGATCAATGAAAATTTGTCAAAAAAAAATCCAAGCTCCTACACAAAACAACATGACATCATATCTAGGAATATTAGACAGAGAAACAAACTAGTGCTACCAACTTCAAAACTAAAATCTCATTCTTCCAGCCCATTTGCCATGACTATAAAAGTATATAATAAATTACCCGAATATATAAAAATCATTAAAGACGAAAAACCATTCGTAAAAAATTAAAGCAACTACTTATAAACAAGTGTTACTATGGTACTTCTGAATTTTTAGAAGATAAAAATATAATATAATATAGATATTTAAATATAAATATGTTAGGTTATAATGAAATACCATCCTACTAAATAAATTACAATAAAAAACTATAATAAAATTTAAAATGTTTCAAATAATTTAATAAAAATTCGACTGTGCTAATTATACTAACTATAATAATACCTTAAGAGTCAAAATCAATTCAGTAATAAATAATAACAATTATAATAACCATATTTAATTTAATGTGTGTATGTTTAAATAATATAATACATGTTAATATTAAATAATTATTTAACAATAATAATACTAAAACAACTAACAATAAATAAATGTTCCTCCTTCATAATATTGCTGTGTCCATCAGGGTCTATAGAGATATCATAAAACTATGTAACACCTTTTGTAAACTATGGAATGCAATAAAGTTATTGAGTATAGAGTACTAAAAAGTTACATAGTAGTTACATAAAATACAAAAACTTATGATAGAACAAAGTAATATTATGTGTTTTGACACACACAATAACTACACCTAGTTACTTAAATAATGTATCATTTACTGTGTTCTTAAATTTAGCTAGAGACATAAAACATGAACACCTATTGACCCACCGCACTTATTATATAATTAGGAAATCCTGGAGATCAGTGAATTGGCTCCCAGAACTGTTTTGCGAAACGGACGAGAGAGAGAGGTTCAATGGGCTTACGAGGAATTCGTGACGGAACTTTAAAATTGAATTTCATTAGGAGTACAGAGCAACACAACTGATATCTTATTATAATTAAAAAGAAGGATATGTGAAGTAGATCCCTACGGTTGTCCAATCCAAGGGAATCAATCGAATTGATTCCCTTTTTCTGATTGCCTAATTAGGATTTGTTAACAAAAACAAGATATGCTACGATAAGGCTGACATATCCTTGTAGGATAAAAGTATTTTAAATAAAGATAGATAATAAAAAATTGATATTAAATTAAACATATATATCTCACCTGATCTGTTCTGGATAACCAACAAATATATGCCTATTAAAATTCCCGCAAATAGAACTAGAAAGAGTAGGGTGACGGCCATGGTGGTCTGGTATCTTTGTTCTTCTTGTACTGGCCTTCTTGGAAAACGCTGCAGTAGCGGCGACGCCTCGGAAGTTCTGGGTTCATCTTCTGCGCGGTATGAGTTGGTACGTGACTCGTGATCTGGAAAAGTCAATTATTGTGTTACATAGAATATCAAATTAATATTTTACTCTGGCTGTATTTAATTAAAATAATTTTTAACGTTAATTAAAACCGTACAACTGAGCCATATTTCCAGGTTCTATGAATCCCATTTAAATATTCATATATGGTAAATATTTATGTATAGAAAACTTTTTAAATTTGATCAAATATGGGTCATGAAATATATTTACCAGCTTATGTATCCCTAAAATTTAAAAGTAATTTAAGCGATCAAATATATATTCTAAAAAAGATAAGGCATAAAACATTCACCGCCATGTGTTAACTGGAAAATATTTCATTAAAAATAAAAGGCAAAACGATAGTTACAATAAATAGATTGCAGTTGAATCTCGCCCATATCAACACTACACTAAGGCAATATCAGTTTCTAACAGCGAGTTCTGCACCCTGAAAAGATTGATTTAAACACTGATTTAAAATTTTTATTATGCGATCATGTTCCAATTTTAACAGACATATTTAATGTCACCACAGGCCATTATATCCTGCATACTGTAACTTATCTGTTTGATATGCCTATTTTAATTCAACATTTAAGTACCCAATTTGTTACCTACTATAGCTTATGATAAATTATTGATTTTAGTTTATCAATCTACAATGTGAGTGAAATAATTCCTCTAGTAGACGAAGACTAGTTAAGTGCGAGTCGGGCTGACTATTAGGGTTCCATACTTGTACTAGATACATAATATACTAGATACATATACCTAGAACATGCACCGGGTAATAGTGGTTTAAACATATTCACTACCCAACATCATCTCGCGACTAGTGGTGGGGACCACGAATTTCATCCTTGGTATGCCTCGTTTTCAGTAAAAAGGTTCAAGGTACACCCTTCTTATGGAACACAGCTGCAATTTTACGCTGATATATTAAAGTTACAGCCTATATACGTCCCACTCCTGGACACAGGCCTCTGCTCATTTCTGAGAGGGTGTTAGGGCAAGGAATTGTTCGCCGCGCTGCCCCAATGCGTGTTGGCGAACTTCATATGTCTTCCAAATCTTTTTTTCTTATTTTTCAGACATTCAGGTTTCCTCAGGATGTTTTTCTTCACCGCCAAGCACATGGTAAACTAGCACTTAAAATTGCAATTTACAATTTCAATGGTGTTTGAATCGAACATGGTTTGCTCGCGTACTGTAAATTTACAGCGAGCGCTAACCATCTAAACTATCACGACTTTGATATATAATAAACAGATATTATATGTAATAATCAAAATATCTTTGAAAAACAATGTGGAGAAAATTTACCGGAAAAATAAATGTGATCTAATTGACCTATAATAGCAAGAAAACATTACTTTTATAATTATGCTGAAAAATTTATTAGCACAAACAGTAAACAGTGTTTATTAAATTATTAATTAAAAAGGGTTTAGTACAATACATTACATAAAATATTCAGAATTTTGGTTGTAAGAAGTATACCAATATATATATAATATAATTTCAGAGCTAGACACCGCAATAACCCGTGAAAGAAAAATATTAAAAAAAATTTGTTTGTTTTGGCCACAATTTAAAAACTGTCAATCGATGTTTTTGCAGTATTAGTTGTTTAAAAATAGTACATGATGCGCTTTTTATGTTCGTGATGGTACATAATATTCAGAAATTTTGAAAACCTACATAGCTTGGTTTTTGAGAGAGGCCACGCAACAGTAACGGTTTTAAACTGGCCACTTTCACGGCCTATATTTTTGAAGCTAAATTAAGCTATATTGGTTCTATTAAAGAGCTCTAGACAATAACTCTAATTAAAGAGCTCTAAACAATAACTCTGCACATGCTAGTGAAAGAAAAAATTTTTATTACGTAATATTTATTTTATATACCTATATTTTAATAAAAGTATATAATATTTATATGAGAATTAAAATTCTCACCTCTTTGTATGTATTAGTCATTCATAAAACGTCACATCACAGTGTGCATGCAATATGAATAGGTCTGTTAAACTGACTATTTTGTTTCGCATTCCACACTAATGTCTAGTGTTGTGATATCGAATATTGCAAGAAATCAAACCAAAATATTTAAAGCAAATATTATGTAACTTAGTAACATATCCCTCAAACCAACAACAGATAAATATTAGAAATATGTGTTTCTATTATAATATTTACTATTTCAATTTTACACCAAAACACACTGGAGCAGTGTGGAGGACATTTTCTTCACATAAAAAAACCTTCTCATCAATGAGAGAAGGCCTGAGCTCAGGAGTAGAATGTACCTGTATAGACTGTAACTTTACCTTTTATATAATACAAATAATAAATATTATTTGTTTTATAGTGTAACTGTAAATTTTTTTAAAAAGTATTTTTTGTTTACTTTAAATTCTATACAAATAAATAAAATTTAAGTGTCTGTTTGCCATGTCAAAACAACAGTTTTTAACTAAATGCATATGAAATATAGCACGGTACTTATAACTATAAAAAAATTAATTTTTTTGTCTGTCTGTCTGTTTGTTCCAGCTAATCTCCAAAATGGCGGGACCGATTTTGACAGGACTTTCACTGGCAGATAGCTGATGTTATAAAGAGTAACTTAGGCTACTTTTATTTCAGAAAAAGAAATAGGATTTCGCACAAAACAATTAAAACCCATGAAATTCAATTGTAATACAATCTACGCGGACGAAGTCGTAGGGAGTAACTCCTATGAAATATTATTATTTTATATGTGGTAAAGCCGTGCTGCAGTTATAGTAGAAGTATAGTTAAAAATATTTTTTTTTTTGGATAGGGTGACATTTACAATCTCCTTGCGCATCAGAGGCTGACTACTGATATTGTATTTAAAATGCAGGTAAATGAGTTTAGTAGTGAAAGTGATAACTAATACTTTGCAAAGATATGGCGATACTTCACACAGGACTGTGGGTACTGTACTTGTTGACGGTATACATTCTTTATCCATAGGAACTGTAATTACTAACATTTATCAAATTTGTATAGGTACTTCATTGGTTTTGAATATGAATGTAGCGTGACATAGATGTGTATGGTGATTGCTGGCTGTGTGATATAGAATATTGTAGGTTGATTAATTATTGAACATTGATTGAAAATGATTATATGTTTAGATGTAACATGAGTTACATTATGATATAATGGACTCATGCCTACTATTGAACCATTGTATGTCAGCGCTTGAGTATGACTATGATGTGTATGGTGATTGCTGGCTGTGTGATATAGAATATTGTAGGTTGATAAATTATTGAACTTTGACTGAAAATGATAATATGTTTAGATATAACATGAGTTACATTATGATATATTGGACTCATGCCTACTATTGAACCATCGTAAGTCAGCGCTTGACTACAATTCCACCTGATTATATGGTATGGGATGGTATAAAGCGTTGACCTAGCTAAACAAAGTCCTACTATACATCATAGGTATATCTTAACCGTTAATATTAAATACAATATTACACATAGGAAATAAATATAATATAATATGTAAATAAAACAAATATCTGCATCAGCAACACAAAGGTTGCTGCAATTTGTAAGCAAACTTTTCTTACCAATCGGTGATATTAGAGGTTGCATTCTTAGATGGGCTGTCGAAAGGAGCAGCAAACTAACGAATTTCTTGACACATACACATATTACTTACTAAATAAATTTTATGATAAGTAGTTGTATATTATTTAACAATAAATATTTGATAACATTAGCAGACTCATAAACAGCACAACAATGAAAAAAATATATAATGACAATGACATTGACAACCACAGACTATAAGAAACAACCACTGACTTTTTTTTATTTAACTGGCTTAGCGGCTTTGGGTACTAGCCCTTCATTTCTTTCAGAATCTTCATTTTATATATTTTTTCTTCACAATATGCTGATGCGTCACATTGCAAAGTTTTTGGGAGATTTTGACGACAACGCAACTCAGCGGACTGTTGTTGACGACAGCCACTCAAGTTCATAAGGCGCCCAAGCAATCAAATTAACTTGAGGTTTATATCAACATCAAAACACTTGTTTCGTCATTTTCTCTAATAGTTTACACAAGAAAATGCTTAATTCACAAAATTACATCAATTTTACGAATTAAAATCCACTTCTAACCATTATTCAAGACAAAACAGAAGCGACAGTCCGTCGTCGGCCAAGTTCCCGCCAAAACTTCCAACAACCACTGACTTAGAAGCATATCATAGACGTATAAAAAACATAATATGGACCTGGCATACCTACAAGAAAAACGTGTATACCTACACTTTACCGAGAGGATAAATTGGCGGTTAATAGGGCAGCCCATATCAATATTACTAAAATAATAACATCGATAATAGATTGTTAGAATGTTTTCATATGGCAACGTTTTTTATATTTCGTATTTCGTATTTCATAATGCATACTATATGTGGGTAAAAACACCCCAAGTTTACTAACTTATTTATGCATTTCATCTAATAATAATAATAACACTAACGAGCCCTTCGTAGATACAGTCGTCTCCCTCAACTGGCTACATTTCGTTTCGGTGACCTCTTCGGGGAAACCGAGGGTTTTGTCTGTGCAATATATACATATATAACCGCTCGTTTGCTTCTTGCAACCACAGTTGCAAAAACAGAATCGTCGAAGTTCTTTTAATTGAATTAAGACCATATTTTAAACGCACGGAGTCTAACTATTATGTATTGAAACCGAAGACGAATATATAAATCACAGATTTGGATCAAAACTACCAACCTTTTGGACGAAAAATAATGAAACTTTGTTACTTAAACTTTAGTGAGTGAAGTAACGCTTGAGTGGATTTAACGAGGTGATAAAATATGCCGTGAGTATTGAATTTTATTGATTTTTGCTAGTATTTATATACCAAATTAATGTCTTATTAGTGTTTTCTTATATTAAAGTAATATTTTTGCAAATAGTGTATGAAAAATGTGATAAAGTCGACCTTTAAAATACTCAGAATGACGCGAATCTAAACATAATTTTCTATAGCTTACATTATCGTAATTATGCTGTATTCTTTAAATATGAAATAGTCGTAGTGGTATTTGAACATAATTATTCTATTTAAGTAATAAAGTTTTATAAATTGTTCATCATATTATAATATAGGTTTTTTTGTAATAACAGCCTAGACAGCCTAACAAATAGCGATCAATTGCGCAATCCGTGAATTCTTCATCAGGTTTCACTTAATATTTTTACTATGTATTTAAATATAAATCGTTTTATAATATAGATAATTAAGTCAAGTAATTCATTAAGTTTAAGGATATAATAAATAATAATACACTTATCGATCTTATTTTTTTGATGTTTTACAAAAAGTCGCTAAAATGGCTTGTACATGTGATTTGAACACCTCTAAAATATTATTTTAATGATATTTTGAAAGAATAACATACATATTTTCTTTTCTTATTTCAATGGCTATTTATAAAATTTAAAATATTTGAAGTGCTACTCTCGAGTAATTCATAAATTAAGTTTTATTGACGGCGGGTCGAACGTGAGAAACACAGTCCTGATTACTGGCAAACTAAGCTACCCTTTTTTTGTACGCAATCAATCGAGCGGATAATAATAACAATAATAATGTTGAAAGAGGAAGGGTTGCTAACTCAGGGCACAGACTTATCTACGCATGTCAACGTAAGGACCATTTCCGAGGCTGAAACATACCGATACCTGGGTATGTCACAGAACAGTCAGTTTGCGAAGTGTTTTACGCACGCTTGACCAAAGTGCTTAACAGCCTTTTGTCCGGTGTGAATAAGACACACGCATATAACGGTTGGGTCATGCCTGTCCTCATGTATACCTTTGGCATACTCAGGTGGAGTCACACTGAACTTAACGCCCTGGATAGAAAAGTACGCACTACCATATCGACCCATGGGATGCATCATCCGAGATCGTCGGTAATGAGGCTGTACATGCCGCGAAAGCATGGTGAGCGTGGCTTTCCGAGCACGTTCACCATGCATAATTGCGAAGTTTGCAGGCGTTTACCTGGCGAGATTGGATGATCCATTCTATAATGACGTCATTTCTTGTGATAAAGGGCTTACCGCTATATCCTTAGCCAACGAGCAATGGCAGAACACAGCAGTACATAGCATTTCCGACTACGAGATTGTATGGAAGGAGAAGGAGCTTCATGGGAGGTGCTATAGGGCTCTACACGAACCCTTCGTAGATACAGTCGCCTCAACTATGTTTCGGTGACCTCTTCGGGGAAACCGATGGTTTAGTCTGTGCCATACAGGGTCAGGTTATTAAGGCCAACAACTGGGACTAAACAGTGAGAGGATAAAATGGCGACCCGGCTGCAAATAGGTTTTCCAATGAGACTAGAACGAAGGGTTTCGATTATAGTTATATTTGTATAAGTATTTTTTCTATAGTTAACCATTTCTAGGCATACCTACAGAATTAGCGTGACTACCTACAAAAAACTGGCGCATAAAATGGCCGTCTTTTATAGGGTTGTAATCCAGCAAAATGCGCAGTTGATACCGATATTTTAACTAATATGAATTTGTTCTCATTTCGTATTTCGAATTTGTTGCTTAATTTACTTTATTCCGTAGGTATTTATATACGTACAGCGCTGAATTTTCAATCATGAAATAACTTATCTGAGGAATAAATGTGACGGACATTGTGTTGATAGAAATTAAATCCGTAGCCTAATTCGTAACACACCTAAAATGGCAAACCATACCAATTTGACAGTTTAACAATATCCATTGCGTTGTTATTGCTGTCGAGCATACGAATTTTTCCATCACATGAAGCAATGAATATTGTTGATTTATTAAATTAAATTTGGATTGCTATGCTCCGGATCGTATTCACATTGATAATGTTTTATTATAACAGTTTGTACGATGAATTGTTGTAAAGATTGGGAGTGTTTCGACGAAGGTTGGCGTACCTTATACTCAGAATCAACAAACGGTATTCGCTGGTCTTACAGGTTTGTGCACCAACCTCGGCACTACCCGATGGGAAGGTGGAAGAAATATATTAGGATATTGCTGGTGCCGTGCATTCCTCCAAAACACACTATAATGTACGGTATTAATGGAAGACTTCAACGCAAAACTAGGCACACGAGAGAACGGTGAGCTGAAGGTAAGGAAATTCGGGATAAGGCAATCGAACCTAAGAATACAGCAGCTGACCGCTTTCATGGTGGAAGAAGTACTTTATTATTTCAATAAACTGTACATTAATTTTATTATTGATGTTTAATTTAAAACTCCAACTTAAAAAATCTCGTAACTACCTTTTTTGAAGTTGCGAAAATTACAAAGTGTTTATGAGACCTTAAATAGGCGGCCATCTTGCTTATATTTTGCCTTCTCGAGCGAGTCCAAAGCGCTCGAGGCATTGCGGTAAAATTACGAGGAGTAGGTGTTTTGTTTCGATTTATTTAATTACATAAAGCTAATTTTTTTTAAAAATTAAAATTAAGAATGTTTTATTTCAGTAAATCATTTTACAGCTATTTGCCGAGGCCTCCCAGAAAGTAATCATAAGATACTTGTGTTGGGAGAGTTTCGCTCTTCCTACGTAATCGTATCAACTTAGATTTACATCAAAAAAAAATATAAACATTTTAAACTTAATATTACAGATATTCATGCATATTAAAATGAAAGAAAGAAGCTTAGGAGAAATGTATACCTGAGTAGTTGTGTCCGTAGTGTGTTAGTTTATGATGTGTGTGTGTGTGTATGTATGTGTGTGTGTGTGTGTGTGTGTGTGTGTGTGTGTGTGTTTGTGTGTGTATGTGTGTGTGTGTGTGTGTGTGTGTATGTGTGTATGTATGTGTGTGTGTGTGTGTGTGTGTGTGTGTGTGTGTGTGTGTGTGTGTGTGTGTGTGTGTGTGTGTGTATGCGTGAGTATGAGTGGGTGAGTATGAATGCAAGTTTATAAATGTGTCACATTACCTACTGATTTGTTGTGTCAGTGTGTGTTATTTAAAACTGGTTCATCTCTTTTTGACCAAAATGTTTTCCACATCATCATAATTAAGAGTATAGAGCCACTCGGTCAGAGTTTTTCTACACTCAAACATTTGCATTGGGTAAATTTTAAGTACGCGGTTGATATTAAACATTAGAGAAGAGTCTAGAAATTAGAGAATTAGAACAAAAATTGAGATTGACTTTATTATGACTACTAGATCGTAATTTTTCAGTGATATCTCAGTGATCGCGAGAATGATAACTAGCAGCGACTACCGAATGTTGAGAGGCACACTGATCCTAAACGTTAAACACACTGATCTAAAACGCAACCCTCGTCGACACACTCAAAATCTTTTAAACGGGTCGGAGCAGTCACCTCTTTTAGGGTTTGGGTGGACCATAGCCATTTTCCATAAATTCGGGACTACGCCTAGGGAGTAGGAGTATCGGAGAAGACGCGTTAAAACCGTTGCCAACTCCGGAGCACACGACTTCAGCACACTAGGAGGAGCCTCATCAGCTCCATTCAGCTTGTTGATGTGCAGGGAGAGAAGTGCTTTGCACACCGAGCGCTGTGTAAATAAG